GGGGGGGAGGGAGAGGGAGGGAGACAGATAATATGGAAAGGAGTGGGAAAGAGAGGAAGAAAATGCCTGAGTGGACGAGAGTGTCAGAGTGCGAGCGATGAACGTGAATCCCGATGATGGCTCCAATAATCAAATGAGACTGGACATGGCTGGTCCCGTCAGGGCCGGGACGGGGGAGCCTCGTGCCCCGCTTGCCAGGAGGTTGTATTAGGTTCGTGGTACTATTGGACGCAAGTTACGTTCCTGAATATTCGATCCGCAAACCTGCGCACCGTCGATGCCTGCGAACGTACGAAAATCATGGATCGTATATATGCAGGAGTATGTAGTAGGTATGTATAGACTTATATTGCACATGGCAGTGCATAAAGTTTTGCTGGTGCAGCCTTGTGGTTCTATGAAGACTATAGGAATATGACAAAGATTCGTTGTATGTATCCCTTTGATATACGGAACTAATTCACTCCGGAATTCATTCGTCTTCCTTCTATAATTTTGCGGAGCTATGCGGACAAGGTTAAATCTTTTGACGTGGTCTGTACTAATTGACGTACGAAAGAGTGCGAATATGTACTTGGTGCATTGAAATTAGTAAAAAAAAAAATAATTGCAATGTTTACATATAGCTTAATGGCATCTCGCAGTCGTGCTAAATGCAATTTCACTGGACGTGAAAAAAAGTTCAATTACGGAAACCGAACACTGTTTATTAAACGTTGTTATTAGTTGTGACGAAATGCGGTAAGAAAGTTATTTAAACATTTTTGATACAGCACGAAGCATTGAACGTTACATTGTTTTTATAATCAAAAAGAAGATGGGTAAGATCAAAAAGAAGATCACCTAGGAGTTTGGCGCAGGTACCGGAAGGGTTCCCAGTGCCCCAGGATAGTCGGAAAGGCAAGTCGGGGATAAGGACGCAGGTAGACGCCGTCGAGCCAGAGACGCCAGGAGCGATGATGATGGCGATGATGGTAGTCGTGGACCCGGATGAAGTGGCTAGCACGAAACCCGCTCGTACAGGGGTGTGTGGGTGGCCAGCGCTACAACCGAGCCGGAGGGGTTATCGATGGTGGCGGATAGTACATAAGCGGAGTGCGCGAGGGTAACAGGGTAGATGGGTGGCGGGGATTCAAGTGGAAGCTGCGGCCAATCCGAAGGAATCGTCGCCATGACTACCGGCGCCTGCGTCCACCGGCGTGCATACAGCCACGCATACTTTTGCCCAACCCTAGTGCCCACTTCGACCCACCTCACTGCTAGCCCGCGTCGTCTACCTTCTCGCCTTCCGACAATCTCCTGCCACCCTCCACCACATCCACCAGCAGGTCTGTTGCCGACCCTCGAAATGCAAGTGCACCTCGCGGAAAACCCCTGGCAACTTTGTTTAACCCACTTTCTGCTGCGAGTAACTGTGACAAACTTAAAAGGAACGGACCCAGGCGTCGCTAAGACTTCCGTCGGAACAAACGCAGAAGCAACTCTCGCTGTGCTTTGGCCGACCTACTTGCAGACCAAAACAACATCGTTTTCCATTCTTCGACCTTTTACGCGGTTAATAACACGTGACGGTGCATCTGGAAATTGAATGTCTTATTGAGCACTGGAAATGCAGAAGGAGATTCGGTTCAATGGAAATCTTGGTAATTTAGCGTTGAGGTGTTTGAACGGCTTTTCCAAATTTTTGATGAATCTGAACAAAAGAGTTGGCATTCATTCGAGCTTTTTACCAGTGATGCTGTATAGGATATTCATCCAGGTACCGTAGCGCGCGGTATCCGCACGGCGTATTTTACATGTTTTCAGAGGATAAGTATCGTAGAGACTACAGTTTCGAGCATTTTACTGAAAGCTTTTTATTTTTC